CCCTCCTTCCCTGCTAGTCTTCGTCAGGGGGGTCTTCCCTCGCTCTGCCATCCAGCCTTTCTTTATGGCAGTTTTTCTTTTCACGTTCAATCAGGCGATGATGGACCGCGAGCCATTTTTAAATGTACTATCTGGGCCAGAGGATGGGAGGACCTGCAGTGAAATAAAGGTCTAAATGTAATGAAAGAAACACACCTGTATATAAGGTCCCACAGTTGACAGCGCATGTCAGAGCAGAAACTATACCATGAAGTCTGAGGAACTGTCCGTAGATCTCCGAGAATTGTGATGAAGCGTATATTTACATTTACATTTGTACATTTTAGTCATTTAGCAGACGCTCTTATCCAGAGGGACTTACAGGAGCAATTAGGGTTAAGTGCCTTGCTCAAGGGCACAGCGACAGATTTTTCACCTAGTCGGCTCGGGGAGTAGAACCAGCGACCTCTCGGTTACTGGCACAACGCTCTTAACCACTAAGTTATCTGCCGCCCCAGTATATCTGGGGAAGGGTATAAAACAATTTCTAGAGTGTTGAAAGTTTTCAAGGAGCCAAATACAGGCAAATCCTTGATAAGAACCTGCTTCAGAGTGAAAACGACCTTAGACTGGGGGCGAAGATTTACGTTCCAACAGGACAATGACCCCAAGCATACAGCCAAAACAATGCTGGAATGGCTTCAGAACAAGAATGTGAAAGTCCTTGAGTGGCCTAGCCAAAGCCTTGAATCCCATTAATGTGCAAAGCTGATACAGACATACCCAAGACCACTCAAAGTTGTAAACCCTGCCAAAGGTGCTTCTGCAAAGTATTGACTCAGAGGTGTGTATACTTACTTAAATATTTTTATATTTAATTTTCAATACTTAAAAAAATGATAATCTAAAAAATAAAAACATTCTGGGGTATTGTGTGTAGATGGGTGAGAAAACATATATATTTAATCCAATGTTGAATTCAGGCTGTAACACAACAACATGTGGAATAAGGAAAGTGTTATGAAATTAAGTAAAGTATGAAAATGTATGCACTCACTTAACTGTAAGTCGCTCTGGATAAGAGTGTCTGCTAAATGACTCAAATGTAAATGTAAAATGTTATGAATATTTTCTGAAGGCACTGTAGTTCTCTACTGTATCTTTCGGGGTGGCTCTCATGTTAGGATGGGCTTTTGAAGGAGGGCGTGAGAAGATAATTAAGGGTATAGAAATGGGAATTATTTTGTCTGATTTTTGTTCAGTTTATGCCAACTGGCCTTGCAGTAGGGTTTGGGCAAATCGGAATTGACGTGATTTTATTCCCTATAAAGTGCACCCATTTTGGCCAGAGCAATATGCAGGGAAGAGGGTGCCATTTTGGGGACGGTCTTTGACCTTGCATCAAATCAAATGTATTTATTGAAATGAAATCACATTTTATTGGTCGCATACACATATTTAGCAGATGTTATTGCGGGTGTTGCGAAATGCTTGTGCATCCCCCCAGAGGAAGTGTAAATAAGTTGATGTACAAACTCTGCGCTATGTAAAGCAGAGAAAACACTGAAACTGACTCAATTCGTTGGGACATGGACTCTACAAGGTGTCGAAAGCGTTCCACAGGGAGGCTGGCCCTTGTTGACTCCAATGCTTCCCACAGGTGTGTCAAGTTGGCTGTATGTCCTTTGGGTGGTGGACCATTCTTGATACACACGGGAAACTGTTGAATGTGAAAAACCAGCAGAGTTGCAGTTCTTGACACACTCAAACCAGTGCACCTGGCACCTACTACCATACCCCATTCAAAGGCACTTAAATATTTTGTCTTGCCCATTCACCCTCTGAATGGCACACATACACAATCCATGTCTCAATTGTCTCAAGGCTTAAAAATCCTCCTTTAACCTGTCTCCTCCCCTTCATCTACTCTGATTGAATTGGATTTAACAAGTGACATCAATAAGAGTTCATAGCTTTCACCTGGATTCACCTGGTCAGTCTGTCATGAAAATGTAGCAGGTGTTCCTAATGTTTTGTACACAGTGCATATTTCAAAGCAGTGGCTCTGTCATTACCGGAGGACCATGCACTAGAGGGCAAATTGACTGTCCATTTTAAGGCCCCAAGGCTTTTGTCTGAGGTTAGTCAAGGGTTAAGTGTTTTCTTGGAGGAAAGTGCAATCTGACTGGGCTCAGACAATACAGACAACATCACAGGGTCATACTCTGTGTGTGTGTGTGAGTGTGTGTGTGTGTGTGTGTGTGTGTGTGTGTGTGTGTGTGTGTGTGTGTGTGTGTGTGTGTGTGTGTGTGTGTGTGTGTGTGTGTGTGTGTGTGTGTGTGTGTGTGTGTGTGTGTGTGTGTGTGTGTGTGTGTACGCATGCTTGTGTTCCTAGTTCCAGGAAACTGTTTTATTTTTGGGGAGGTTTAAGGGGAGTTAAACCCCCTCTAGGTGATCCAGATGGATCTGTGTTGGTACATAGCTCCGGTGATCCAGCCTCCATTGATTTGGATACCAGGGTCTAGTGCTTTACCCTCCTCGCTGCATCTAACCTTGGTGTGCTCCTGTAAGTTTGGCTTCAGTTTGACCCTGTTGATGCCACCTTATACTTAATAAATCCCCCACTGTGTTCATTTGACATTGAGCTTCAAGTTTGAGAGGACTTGTATTTCTATGATGAGATAAGGCTTTTCTCAGACAGTCAGAAGCGTATCTGACCATCTAGTTGTGAGAGAAGGGTCTAAAGGAGGAACACATTCTCAACACTGGTTTCACACATAATGTCACCTTGAGTTGAGTTTCAATCTCTTTTTACATGGAACTCTAGCCAAAAAAGTACTTAAAGAAAAATGTATGTCTTATATGTATTCATATGGTCTTTGTGGTAAGTGAGATAAGCTTTAAGGTAAAAGGTTGCCAGTACGTTAGCGCATGCCCTTGTATAAACAACCTGTGGTGTTGCCCCTCTGTTGTTGTCAAACTGTTTCCTCCTCTCTGCTTCCCTAAACAGCACCTGCAGGAAATAGCCTGTTTATTGTTGCCTGTAAATCCCAGTCTTGTAATTGGAAAGATGTCTAAGCTATAGAGCATTCAGGAGCAGAGAGGTACTGTATAGTGCAACAGCATAGACCACACATGCCTTTGCCTAACTTATGGGGACTGATTGCGTCCTCAGCTACTGTACAAAGGAGGTGGATGGGATGTGTATTGTGAGGATGTTGACGTGTATTGTGGGGACATTGTGTTCGTTCCCCATAAGTGAGGCATTTGCCATCTCTTATTAGGAGTGTAAAGGGGAAATGTCATTCTGCCATTCAGTTCAGCCGTTTTAAGCCTGAAGGACATGATTGGGCCCTTTCTGAAGAGCTTGATTGCCCCAACTGTCCCAATGTCAATCACCCACATCTCCGCTATCTCTCTCTATAGCCCCCCATTGAACAACCAACAGTGCAGAACAGCGCAATCACCTGCTTTCCCCTCCATAGACCTCCATTATATGGTATTATACAGTATGCACAAAACAGCGATTTGCCCCCATGCACTCCCATTATATAGGCCGTATTCCCTCTACTCTCTAGGCCTAATGGGTCAATCTCCCTGGTTTTCTATGAGCTGCCTCCTCTCAGACACCACTTTTCAAAGGAAAACCACTGGGCCTTGGGAAAGAGATGCATTGTGCGGGCCGGTGGATTGGTGTGTGTGTGTGTGTGTGTGTGTAAGCTAGCGAGTGTGTGTGTGTGTGTGTGTGTGTGTGTGTGTGTGTGTGTGCTCATATGTTCTATTGTTTGAGGTTGGTGAGGAGAGAGGAGTGGAGGAAGAGAGATTGGATGAACAAAGAGAAGAAGAGAACTTGGAGACATAAAGAGGAGGAGAGAAGAAGAGAACTTGGAGACATAAAGAGGAGGAGAGAAGAAGAGAACTTGGAGACATAAAGAAGAGGAGAGAAGAAGAGAACTTGGAGACATAAAGAGGAGGAGAGAAGAAGAGAACTTGGAGACATAAAGAGGAGGAAAGAAGAAGAGAACTTGGAGACAAAGAAGAGGAGAGAAGAAGAGAACTTGGAGACATAAAGAGGAGGAGAGAAGAAGAGAACTTGGAGACATAAAGAAGAGGAGAGAAGAAGAGAACTTGGAGACATAAAGAGGAGGAGAGAAGAAGAGAACTTGGAGACATAAAGAGGAGGAGAGAAGAAGAGAACTTGGAGACATAAGAGGAGGAGAGAAGAAGAGAACTTGGAGACATAAAGAGGAGGAGAGAAGAAGAGAACTTGGAGACATAAAGAGGAGGAGAGAAGAAGAGAACTTGGAGACATAAAGAGGAGGAGAGAAGAAGAGAACTTGGAGACATAAAGAGGAGGAGAGAAGAAGAGAACTTGGAGACATAAAGAGGAGGAGAGAAGAAGAGAACTTGGAGAGAAGAAGAGAACTTGGAGACATAAAGAGGACAAAAGAAATGAGAGGAGTGGAGGAAGAGAGGTTGGAGAAACAAAGACCAGTAGAAAAGACAAGAAAGGAAAGACAAGAGAAAAGGGAAGGCCACAGGACCTGCATGTGCTTCTGTGGGGGTGATTTGTCATGGTGGCGCGGCATCAGCTAAACGAGGCCATCTCATTTCCTGTTGACTGCAGGAAGCCCAGACGGTGGGGAGAGCCTAAGGTGATCAATCTCACCTGTTTTAATTGGTCTACGCACCCACAGACAGGACTGGGCTGAAACGCACACGTATACACACACACAGGCACGGATACTCACACACACTGCTACAAACTGTCAGACAGGTCTAGTACAGACACTGAGATTCACACAAACAAGGTATTGTCCTTTGTCAGACGAGGGACTAGCATCACGTAGGAGTGATGCCACCTGTTGGAAACGATACCTTACTGTAGCATACAGATGATTATTTACTTTGCCTGTTATGGTGTGCAGATTTAAAGTAACATCATTACAAAAGTAGCATCATTGTAACCTACACAATGGGGACAGTAACAGAGACTGTTCCTTGAACATGTAACTCACTGAGGTGCATATAGGGAGACCATTGCCTCTGGGTTTGAATGGGGACAGGAGAACTCCCATAGCCCTCTTAGGAGAAACACAGGGTTTGAGTGGGGACAGTAGAACTCCCACAGCCCTCTTATGAGAAACACAGGGTTTGAATGGGGACAGTAGAACTCCCATAGCCCTCTTAGGAGAAACACAGGGTTTGAATGGGGACAGTAGAACTCCCATAGCCCTCTTAGGAGAAACACAGGGTTTGAATGGGGACAGTAGATCTCCCATAGCCCTCTTAGGAGAAACACAGGGTTTGTTGGCTACTGCAGCACTTCTTTCTTCACCCTCCTCCTCCCAGTTATTTTTAGTAGAAAAGCTGTGTTCCAACCTGCCAATATGGCATCACACACACACACACACACGTGATTGCCTTTAACTGGTGTAATAATTGTGTAGGGGTGAGAGAGGGCCGCAGACAGCGGAGAGTCTGGGAGAGAGGTGGGCGTGTGTGTGGGACAACCATATGCATTTCACTCTGCCGCTCTTTGTCTGAAGGGGAGAAAACGCTAAACGCAACACACAGCGAGCAGGCTTTAGACGGTAACCTACTGAATAGAATCTTAATGCTCTCTCAAAGCCATTTCTATCAGGAGATTCGAGTCAGACACTGGTGTTGTGAGGGATGTGTGGAGGAAGCTGTCATATTGCCATCTAGTGGCGACATGGGCCTCTGCAAGTGCCTAGGGCATATTGTACAGCAACCTCGACCCTAGGGTTGCAAAATTCCAGTGACTTCTCCAAAAGTACCAGGTTTTTCAGAAATCCTGGTTGGAAGATTTCCAGAATCATGGGGGGAATAAGCAGGAAATCCGGATTCCTCCAACCAGGACTTCTGGAAGTCAACAGAATTGTTCAACCCTACTCCTCCCTAAGCTCAGTTACTAGAGAGAAAGCTGACTGGAGGACAAGATTCATTTTACAGTAGTAAGACATTTATAATCATAGGAGTAAAATACTATATGGTGGGTATTGCTACTGTATGGACCAGTTAGTTACCAATTGGGTTGAATTATTTGAAATACCTACCAGAAAGTACCTGTTGATACCTAGTAAATGCCAGGTAAGATAAAGTGCTACAGTACATCAAGATCCTGGTCCTGGATGATGGTTCAGTGGTCTGTGTGTTTAATATGCTGTAGAGACTAATTAATATTATAACAATTAAAAAACCTGCCGTTTTAGCATTCATTGTTTTATTCCTTTGAATGAAAGTAATGTCTGATGCGTCGTGAATCCCATAAAATGTCCCCATGCGTCAAACTGTTTTTTTTATTACAGTCGGATCATTGAGGTGAATGCGTACGGCAGTGCTGACTGTGCTAATGTCACATAATGTCATCAGTTGGCTAAGCACTGTCAAGCCTGGAGCTATGTATTTTATTGGGTTTGTTGATTGGAAGTATTGACACACACACCACAAACACACTCATCTCCAACAGTGTGTGTCGGGTCTCAGCAGGGCGTGGCCTCCTTGGTGGCCGGAGTAATGTGAATTGGCCACGGCTGATAGGCCGTAGCCCAGGGGGAATTATGGGAGATTTTAAATAGAATATAATCTGTCTTTGGCACGCTCTCTCTTCAGCATCCCATTCCAGATAGTTTCCCTTAGGCACAGATCTAGGATCAGCTGACCATCACCAATTCCTAACCTTAATCATTAGGGAGGACATGCTAAACAGACCTTAGATCAGTGTCGAGGGTCAACACCGTCCTTCTCCCAGTTGCATTGGCTCCAGGAAACTAGCTGTTCTTCCTCTGAAAACAAGCATCGTCGTTATAGTTTTAATACAGTATAATAACAAGATGGGAGTTAGATTAGATTTAGATGGCGCACTGTTGGTATAAGTGAGTTCTGAAATGTTATTTTGATATCAATATACACAGGGAGGGTACTGCGCAGACAATTATCTAGCGCTAAGCCTCGGGCTCCGACATCTGTTTCCTGAAGATAGTCAATTAGATGCCGTCTAGCACAATCAACAGCAGTCGCTGCTTATAAACTGGGGTTTTAGTGCGACTGGAAGTGCCGTTGGATCCAGAAGAGCCCTGCCCTGGGGGGGGGGTAAGTGCTGCTTCTCTCTGAGTCTGTCTCTTCAGTAGTGGGTGTGTGGAGTGATCAGTGATGGAGCCAGATCAGCGGTTGACAGTGTTAGACTGTGTGGTGTATGTGTGTGTGTGTGTGTGTGTGTGTGTGTGTGTGTGTTCATGGCCTGGGTGTCAGTCTCATTAGCACGTGGACAAATGAATATTTCCTGTTGATGAACCATTAAGGCCCTGCCACTGACTGACTCTCTCCATCCCACTAGTCATTATATTTCTGCTGCTAGACTAGCAAGACCATGGATCTGCTCCCTAATCTCCTTATTAAGAGTGAGCAATGCCTGCTGGCTGCCACGGTGTGTGTGGAGGGGGGATGGAGGGGGGATGTCTGTGGAGTCTGGACGGGGCTGAGATGACCTCAGGACAGTGCGCTGTGTGTGTGTGTGTGTGTGTGTTAGGTGGATGATTCTGAATGTGTGTGCGGAGGATGAAGACTGCTAATCAGATTTGCAGGGTTATTAATTTGTATTTCACAGACAGGAGCGCCGGCGTCCCACCGCCATCACCACAGTGTTGCCGTGGTGTCTCCGTGGTGATGAGACTCACGCTGTGCCCTGTGACGACATCTTCTCCAGTGTTCAAAGCGTCTGCTAAATGGCATATTATTATTATTATTCTGCTCTTTCTGTTTGTGTCCCAAATGGCACCCGATTCCCTTTATAGTGCACTACTTTTGACCAGGGTCCGTAAGGAATAGGGTGCCATTTGGGACATACTGACCCACACAACCTTTTTTTCAACAAATGTCATACTGGATTCCACCATTGTAAACCTATTATCTCAAACAGGCCTCATTATTGAATTCTTATCCATTGAATAGGAAGGTTTATAGGTGACTGAGTTCATTTTAGTAGTGGTTTAGTTGTAGACACAATAGAGTTACTGTAGCTACTGTGGAGGTGGAGGTGGCTTAGAACTTCTGAGAACTTCATTATGTGTTGTCAAATTAAGAGCTGAGAGTTACTGTAGCTACTTGAGGTGGCTTAGAACTTCAGAGAGTTACTGTAGCTACTGTGGAGGTGGCTTAGAACTTCAGAGAGTTACTGTAGCTACGGTGGAGGTGGCTTAGAACTTGTGAGAGTTACTGTAGCTACTGTGGAGGTGGAGGTGGCTTAGAACTTCAGAGAGTTACTGTAGCTACGGTGGAGGTGGCTTAGAACTTGTGAGAGTTACTGTAGCTACTGTGGAGGTGGCTTAGAACTTCAGAGAGTTACTGTAGCTACTGTGGAGGTGGCTTAGAACTTCAGAGAGTTACTGTAGCTACTGTGGAGGTGGCTTAGAACTTGTGAGAGTTACTGTAGCTACTGGGGAGGTGGCTTAGAACTTCAGAGAGTTACTGTAGCTACTGTGGAGGTGGCTTAGAACTTCAGACAGTTACTGTAGCTACTGTGGAGGTGGCTTAGAACTGAGAGTTACTGTAGCTACTGTGGAGGTGGCTTAGAACTGAGAGTTACTGTAGCTACTGTGGAGGTGGCTTAGAACTTCTGAGAGTTACTGTCGCTACTGTGGAGGTGGCTTAGAACTTCAGAGAGTTACTGTAGCTACTGTGGAGGTGGCTTAGAACTTCAGAGAGTTACTGTAGCAACTGTGGAGGTGTCTTAGAACTTCTGAGAGTTACTGTAGCTACTGTGGAGGTGGCTTAGAACTTCTGAGAGTTAGTGTAGCTACTGTGGAGGTGGCTTAGAACTTCAGAGAGTTACTGTAGCTACTGTGGAGGTGGCTTAGAACTTCTGAGAGTTACTGTAGCTACTGTGGAGGTGGCTTAGAACTTGTGAGAGTTACTGTAGCTACTGTGGAGGTGGCTTAGAACTTCAGAGAGTTACTGTAGCTACTGTGGAGGTGGCTTAGAACTTCAGAGAGTTGCTGTAGCTACTGTGGAGGTGGCTTAGAACTGAGAGTTACTGTAGCTACTGTGGAGGTGGCTTACAAGAACTGAGAGTTACTGTAGCTACTGTGGAGGTGGCTTAGAACTTCTGAGAGTTACTGTCGCTACTGTGGAGGTGGCTTAGAACTTCAGAGAGTTACTGTAGCTACTGTGGAGGTGGCTTAGAACTTCAGAGAGTTACTGTAGCTACTGTGGATGTGGCTTAGAACTTCTGAGAGTTACTGTAGCTACTGTGGAGGTGGCTTAGAACTTCTGAGAGTTAGTGTAGCTACTGTGGAGGTGGCTTAGAACTTCAGAGAGTTACTGTAGCTACTGTGGAGGTGGCTTAGAACTGAGAGTTACTGTAGCTACTGTGGAGGTGGCTTAGAACTTCTGAGAGTTACTGTCGCTACTGTGGAGGTGGCTTAGAACTTCAGACAGTTACTGTAGCTACTGTGGAGGTGGCTTAGAACTGAGAGTTACTGTAGCTACTGTGGAGGTGGCTTAGAACTTCTGAGAGTTACTGTAGCTACTGTGGAGGTGGCTTAGAACTTCTGAGAGTTAGTGTAGCTACTGTGGAGGTGGCTTAGAACTTCAGAGGGTTACTGTAGCTACTGTGGAGGTGGCTTAGAACTTCAGAGAGTTACTGTAGCTACTGTGGAGGTGGCTTAGAACTTCAGAGAGTTAGTGTAGCTACTGTGGAGGTGGCTTAGAACTTCTGAGAGTTACTGTAGCTTCTGTGGAGGTGGCATATAACTTCTGAGAGTTAGTGTAGCTACTGTGGAGGTGGCTTAGAACTTCTGAGAGTTACTGTAGATTCTGTGGAGGTGGCATAGAACTTCTGAGAGTTAGTGTAGCTACTGTGGAGGTGGCATAGCACTTCTGAGAGTTAGTGTAGCTACTGTGGAGGTGGCTTAGAACTTCAGAGAGTTACTGTAGCTACTGTGGAGGTGGCTTAGAACTGAGAGTTACTGTAGCTACTGTGGAGGTGGCTTAGAACTTCTGAGAGTTACTGTAGCTACTGTGGAGGTGGCTTAGAACTTCTGAGAGTTACTGTCGCTACTGTGGAGGTGTCTTAGAACTTCAGACAGTTACTGTAGCTACTGTGGAGGTGGCTTAGAACTGAGAGTTACTGTAGCTACTGTGGAGGTGGCTTAGAACTTCTGAGAGTTACTTTAGCTACTGTGGAGGTGGCTTAGAACTTCTGAGAGTTAGTGTAGCTACTGTGGAGGTGGCTTAGAACTTCAGAGAGTTACTGTAGCTACTGTGGAGGTGGCTTAGAACTTCAGTGAGTTACTGTAGCTACTGTGGAGGTGGCTTAGAACTTCAGAGAGTTAGTGTAGCTACTGTGGAGGTGGCTTAGAACTTCTGAGAGTTACTGTAGCTTCTGTGGAGGTGGCATAGAACTTCTGAGAGTTAGTGTAGCTACTGTGGAGGTGGCTTAGAACTTCTGAGAGTTACTGTAGATTATGTGGAGGTGGCATAGAACTTCTGAGAGTTAGTGTAGCTACTGTGGAGGTGGCATAGCACTTCTGAGAGTTAGTGTAGCTACTGTGGAGGTGGCTTAGAACTTCAGAGAGTTACTGTAGCTACTGTGGAGGTGCCTTAGAACTTCAGAGAGTTACTGTAGCTACTGTGGAGGTGCCTTAGAACTTCAGATAGTTACTGTAGCTACTGTGGAGGTGGCTTAGAACTTCAGAGAGTTACTGTAGCTACTGTGGAGGTGGCATAGAACTTCTGAGAGTTAGTGTAGCTACTGTGGAGGTGGCTTAGAACTTCAGAGAGTTACTGTAGCTACTGTGGAGGTGGCTTAGAACTTCAGAGAGTTACTGTAGCTACTGTGGAGGTGGCTTAGCACTTCTGAGAGTTACTGTAGCTCTTGTACCTACTGCTACTGCTACAGTTTTTTCAAATTGATGGGCAATTCACAACATATATATTGATTAAAAGATATAAGCTTTGTTGTACAATTAAGTGTTTTTCAAACAGTCAGCAATAATCTAATGAATTCAGGGCTTGTGCAATTATACCTAGGCCTTCCACAACCATATGACCATTCAAGTCTGTCTATGAAAATGCACTTTTTGTTACAAATTTAACCAGAACCATGCATAATGCACATTCACTAATAATTACTGACTTCTTGTAGCAGGCGTTATAGAAAATTAACACCGGTCTCATATATCGGCCAGCTGTGGAGGTGGCTTAGAATTTTTGAAGATACACTGGGTCATTCGAATTATGTAAATATGTTTGGCTACAGAGTGTGTGCGTGGGCATGTGTGTGTGTGTGTGTAAAGTAGGTAGAATGCCACAAAGTTGGCACTAGACTGTAGTATTAATTGAATGGACTTAATGCCATCACTATCATCAGCCAGTTTGATAAATGTGTTACCTGGATGTTAGGTCAATGTCCGGGTTAACATCTGAACGTTAGCTAAGCGACTGGACAAGCAGTTGAGTTACCTCAGTTGACTGCATGGTGACACAGGGCCAAGTCCTGAGGCTCAGCTCCAGATGGTTATTCGTACAGAGAGAGCGTTCGACTGCATCCTCCGTCCTCTCCCCAACATTATTCAAACGTTATCGCTCTAACAAACTAAAATCCATCTGTGCTCACACACCAATCTAGATCCATCAACTTGATGTGTATATTGAGACAATGACAATAGTAACAGGATATGATGAATCTTCTTGGTTTGCGTGGCACGTTTATGCTGCAACTTGGTTTTCTTGATCAATTTTTGAAAACGTTTTTGTCAGCACTAACTATATTTGGAGTGATTGAGGGGTATTTAGTGACGTTCTGTGCATTTTAAGATGGGCTGGATGCCTGGTAGTCATTGTAGACTCAACTTAAATTAGTCTACTATGGAGTTTCCACTTAGTGGCTTTAGCAGGAGCCGCAGTGGGAATCGATGAGGGATTTTTACTTTCTCTTAAACTCCACCTCACTCACTCACTGGGTTAAATTCTGAACACACATTTCGGTTGAATGCATTCAGTTGTGCAATGGAGGTATCCCTTTTCCCTATAGACACCTATAGCCTTCTACAGAGTCCTCTCTCTAGCCCCCCTGTCCCCCACTATACCTAGAGCCCAGACATCATAGGAGTCTTCTCTGGCTCCTTCCTTCCTTCCCTTGCTCCATAGTTCCAACTCTGAATAGATCTTACCCCCTTCACATTGTGAAGGATTTGATTTATTTGTGGCTGTTAAGCTGTTGAGGACAAACGCACTCTTGCGTGGAGGTGTGCTGTGGCATGTGTGTGTGAGAGACAGGGCTAGTTATTATCAGTGATTCCTTGACAAATGAGGTGTGTATGTGTGCTCCCCCAACCCTTACATTGCTGTGTGACCCTATCTGACCAACTCGACAGCTGCCTCTAGTTAAACACTCACCCATGTAGATCGGAGGATGGCACTGTTTTCAAGGACTTACCCCGAGCAGTTTGTCCAAGTTGTCCACTACTGGTCATGGGAAACATCCTAGCACATTATCACCGTTTAACTCTTATCCAGAGCGACTTACAGGTAGTGCATACATTATTTTTTTTTTTTTCATACCCCCCCGTGGGAATCGAACCCACAACCCTGGCGTTGCAAACGCCATGCTCTACCAACTGAGCTACACCCCTGCCGGCCATTCCCTCCCCTACCCTGGGCCAATTGTGCGCAGCGCCTGGATTCGAACCAGGATCTCTAGTGGCACAGCTAGCACTGCGATGCAGTGCCTTAGACCACTGCGCCACTCGGGAGAGTATAGTCTGCACGTCAATTATTCTTTCCAAATTAGTTCGGAATACTTCTACTCATTTCAGTAACGCAATTCCCCTCTGTTTATTTCATGTGAATACATTATCGCCACCTTCTCATGGGTATTATAGCATCTGTGTACTACAGCTAGTGGAACTACTACTTACGTTCCTAAGTGGTCCTGTGTGGCTCAGTTGGTAGAGCCTGGTGCTTGCAACGCCAAGGATTGTGGGTTCGTTTCCCACAGGGGCCACCTATATGAAAAATATATGCACGCTTTGGATAGAAGTGTCTGCTAAATGGCATATATATATATATATATATATATGTATTTATATTCTGGCTAACATTGCTATAGCCTTCCTGTACAGTTTCTCTAACGATAGCTCAAGGTTCTCTAACATTGCAGTAACATTCCTGTCCAGTCTCTCTGTTTCACCCCCCAGGTTTATCCAGGCTAACATTGACGCAACACTCCTCTCCACTCTCTTTAAAGTTCCCTCAACATTGTCCCCCCCCCCCCCCAAGGTTCATCAATGAGACGGAGCAGAACATGGGTCCTCCGGGACAGGCCAAGCAGTGCCAGCTCCGGACATTCCTCACCTACTACATCAACGACCTGTTCCTGCACCAAGTCAGAACAGAGATCAACAAGGAGATCCAGGCCGTCAGCAAAACAGCAGATCCACTTAAAGTCCTGGCTAGTGCCGATACTATGAAGGTCCTGGGGGTGCAGAGGCCGCTGCTGCAGGTAAGGGGGGGAGGGAGGGGTTGGGAACACACACTCGCAGGACACACACACGCATGCACGCAAACACACTCGCAGGACACACACAGGGGACACACATTCACAAATGTGTTCTTAATATGATATGGTAAATGTATGGAAATCATACAAGTGTCTGTGTGGACATATTTATGCAGACACGAATGCTTACTTACTTTTGTTCATCCTATGTTTCCTGTTCACATCATATTCACAACATTTTCACAAGAACAACATTCTTCTTCATTTATGTTGTTTTAGTCATTTAGCAAACGCTCTTATCCAGAGCGACTTACAGTTAGTGACTTCATCAGTTAGTATATGGCCAAGTAATAATTTCCTTTGGACACTGTGAGGTTTCCACAGCCACCTCTCTCTCTCGCTCGCGCTCTCTCAAATCAAAATGAAATCAAATGCTCTGAGTACACGTTCTGGTAATCCGTCTGGCCCCGCGGCCTTGTGAATGTTGACCTGTTTAAAGCGTGATCACACAGTCGTCCGGAACAGCTGGTGCTCTCATGCATGTTTCAGTGTTGCTTGCCTCAAAGCGAGCATAAAAGGCATTTAGCCCGTCTGGTAGACTCGCGTCATTGAGCAGCTCGCGGCTGGGTTTCCCTTTGTAGTTTGTAATAGTTTGCAAGCCCTGCCACATTCGACGAGCGTCAGAGCCGGTGTAGTAGGATTCAATCTTAGTCCTGTATTGACGCTTTGCCGGTTTGATGGGCATAGCGGGATTTCTTATAAGCGTCTGGATTAGTGTCCCGCTCCTTGAAAAACGGCAGCTCTAGCCTTTAGCTCTGTGTGGATGTTGCCTGTAATCCATGGCTTCTGGTTGGGGTATGTACGTACGGTCGCTGTGGGGACGACGTCGCCGATGCACTTATTGATGAAGCCGGTGACTGAGATGTTATACTCCTCAATGCCATTGGATGAATTCCGGAACATATTCCAGTCTGTGCTTGCAAAACAGTCCTGTAGCGTAACATCCGTGTCATCTGACCACTTCCGTATTGAGCGAGTCACTGGTACTGCCTGCTTTAGTTTTTGCTTGTAAGCAGGAATCAGGAGGATATAATTAATTTCAGATTTTCCAAATGGAGGGCGAGGGAGAGCTTTGTACGCGTCTCTGTGAGAGTTTTTTTCCCCTCTGGTTGCACATGTGACATGCTGGTAGAAATTAGGTAAAACGGATTTAAGTTTGCCTGCATTAAAGTCCCCAGCTACTAGGAGCGCCGCTTCTGGAAGAGCATTTTCTTGTTTGCTTATGGCCTTATACAGCTCCTTGGGTGCGGTCTTAGTGCCAACGTCGGTTTGTGGTGGTAAATAGACAGCTATGAAAAATATAGATGAAAACTCTCTTGGTAGATAGTGTGGTCTACAGCTTATCATGAGGTACTCTACCTCAGGCGAGCAATACCTCGAGACTACCTTAATATTAGACATCGTGCACCTCTCTCTCTCTCTCTCCCTCACTCACTCACTCATTTTCTCTTATACACATACAGAGTGATACTTGGCAGCTACCCACCTATCTCACAGGATCCTAATTGTGTCTGAAACAGCATTTGATTCTCCCTGACCCTGTAGAAGCAGTACATTGGTGGTTATAGAACACACACACACTCACACATACACACCCAAACCCCGGTACCCATTTCCTCCAGCACAGGAAGTGGGCCTATCATCTCCATGAATACCACTTACTGTGCATGCTCACCTGGCTCCGCCCCTATTACAGATGAGGTCAGTCACATCTCACAACAATGTGTTCCCCAGATCAGATATGGAACAGTGGATATTGCATCTATGCATCTCAAAGCTAGTCTACATGAATACTCTACAGTAGCGTATCAATTATAAAGAATTAGTCTTCTCATACACTCATATGCCTACACATTGACCTCTTTCTTCAGTATCTACCTGCAT